AAAGTGTACTGAACTGTTATGCAATATCAGTCCTCTTTATGGTAGTGAATGCTGAACAATCTCCTCAAAGATGATGAAGAAGAAACTTGAAGCAATAGTAATGTGGTTCTGCAGAAGGATGCTGCGAATACCATGAACTGAATGTGTGAAAATGTAAACAAAAATAACATGCATACATAACATCAGAAAGAGACAATTGAAATTTCTAGGGCATATAATGAAAGAGAGCTTGGAAAATTTGATACTCACAGGACATATTGAAGGCAAGTGAGACTTTGGAAAACAATGCAGAACCTATCTAATGAGCTTAAGTAAATGGATGGTGGACAAGTTTTCAGCTAAAAATGTCAGGAAATTGTGGAGAGCCATGATCCAGTTAATTTTCAACTATTTTTCTGTAAAAGATTTCTAAGCATAGGTTATTCCACATGATCTTTCTTTTGTTTTCATTTTTCAACAAAATTAAATTCCATTGTGGTGAATAGAAAAGATATTGTCTGCTAACTAAATGGCAAGACCACATGATCCTAGAATTGGATTAAAGACAACTAAAGGGCATCATATGATCTGTGAGTTCCATAATTGAATTATCTCAAACCAGTTTCTTTCTTTTGTTTCTTAATAGCTGATGTATTATCTGGCCTTCCCTGGCTGATTGTTATGTTTAGTAATCTGGAAATTTTAATGGTAATAGTAATATTAACCGTTTCCTTATAAGGAAACATTCAGCATTCAGTGATTGAGAACCAGCGCTACCATTGGTTGGAATTTATAAAATCTTTCTCTTAAAACAATTTTTCTGGAAAATAGGTATAGAATTTAAAGGTTGTGTATTTGGTATATTGTACAATGTACAGCATATGTACTGTTACAAAATTAAAAGCTTATAACTTCAGAAAAATGTATTATATCAGCATATAATTTTAACACAAAGTAAGTATTAGTCTGCTAAATAACAGCAGAACATCTCATTCAATATGGTTCCCTTCAGCCTTCACCACACATTGAAGACTTTCAGGAAAGTCACTGATGGTGGCATGCACAGTTTCCATGGGTATTGATATCTGGTGCTGAGGGAGGCCATTTGTCCTTTGCACTAAATAAATTAATAAATAGTGTTTATTATTTTTGTTGCCAGTTCTCAAGAACAAGGAAAATGTATGAATTCACTTTCATATGTTTAGGTTTTTATTAAAACAATAAACATTGCTGAGGAGTGAAGGCAGTTAAAATAAAAGCAGTGTCAAGGGAAAAACCATCCTATTGACACTTGTTTGTTTTTGTGGGCACAAAGGTTCAAAGTTTCCAAAACATCTTTCATGACCCATAGAAGTATCAATACACCAAAAGATCTGTTATTAGTACATCATAATTTGAACTTCTCTACCTTGCATCCAATATTAAAATGCATTATGTGACTGATAAATATGATAGAAATTAATAAAAGGATAATCTTGTTCATTATAAAATGATTTCGAGGATTATTGTATTTTTGATTGATAAAAAAAAACTCAATGACCCATGTAGATATCAGTGTCAGAAAAAGTTATTTTGTTCTAGACATGTGGTTTGAACCATATGCCTTATAGCCTGCAGTCAAGTCCTTCATCATTCAGATACCAACAGCTGTGTGCGCACATGTTTCAAGATGTCATTATACAAATATATTGTATTGATTTACCTGTGTCACCTGCTTGACGCTCATTGCACGGATTGACCCGCAGCTTCATTTGTGTCACTAATCATACCAATGCTTCCCACCTTTTCTCTTTCTCCACTATTTGGCCACCAAGATATGTACAAGTCTCTTGAAGCATTCATTTTTTTAGGACTTCACTCTCTTCTTACTACACAATGATATCAAGGGAAGGATTTATTAGACAAATACAAAACCTTCATTCATGTTAAAACATAGTTTAAATTTTTCAATGAAATAGTTTCATTATGGATTTTTGATTAATTTTCATTTATTACAACTACTTGCATAGTACTTATAAAAATTAGTGGATTATTTATATATGATCATGTACTTCTGACAAGGATCAGTTGTGTGTGTGTGTGCTCTGACTAGGACAGTGTTTCTCAACTGTTTTAAGCAATGGCACACTAGGAGCAAATATCACAGCACACTTAGCAAAATTTTAAAAGGGGTATACATTTAAATGTTAAAAAATAAAACCATAGATTTAAAAAAGTAAACACATAAATATAAACTTATTTCAATGTTTCTATTCAATTATTTGTGCAGCTTATTTAGTGTGAAACCATTACTACGTTTACACACACACACACATGCATATATATATATATATATATATATATATATATATATAGTTTTAAGGTGTGCAATATTTATGGAATAAAGTGCTCAATATCAGAGATATAACATATGTAAATATAAAAGTGAACGTCAATGTTCAAAGGCAACAGACTATTTCATGCTAGACGCATTTGTCAGGCCACGTGTGTCAGTTTTTTTCTCGACTATTTGTATATACAGGTCAGTGGTGCATTGTGGGTAGTCAAACCACTCCAGCCAAAGTAACCATCAAAATTTGGAGGAAAGCTGGGCAGAATTATCCATTTTGATGGTTATTTTAGTAGGAATGCTTCGTGACATTTTTTTTTTTAAAGTAATGATCTCTTGTCTTTGTTCAAGTGTAAGTTCAAATGTTTTGGGCATTTTGTTGTGAAAAAATTTTGATTCGGAAGAAAGTTGCAAAATTTAGGTTTTAATTTAAACAAAATAAGTATAACAGATTTCACTACTGGGCAAGGTACATTGGCAGCATAGATAAAACAGACTTGCATTTAGCATAATAAATAAAACCATTGTGGTGCTTAACTTGTTTCATTAAAAATAACACTTTTAGGATGAGTAATAAAAATTTTTGAGGGTAGGCAAATACTTAAGACTGGTAGTGTATGTGTGTGTGTGTATATATATATGTATATATATATATATATATATATATTTTAATAAATGCATATATACCTACATTTGTAGTGCAACTCAGAATTTCATGGTTACTCAATTCATTAGGCACAAATGATAAATGAACTATTTTCATTTAAGCATGTTTGGTTAAATAATTTAGATGTATTATGTTTATATATTTTAAGAAATTAATTTGTGAACTTGGAAATAAATAAACATAATGTGTCTATATTATTTAACCATATATATATATATATATATATATAATACTGAAAAGGTTAATGGTTAGAGTTTGATTAAAACAAGCATAATTAATATCTGCAACCTCTGCAAGAAGAAAAGTTAGCAATAATGACATTTCCAGATATAAAAAACCTTTTGAATCAAAGGTCTGAAATTATAAACTGTTGCATTCATACAAAAAAATTCCTTTTAATTTCATATGAGGCTGGATAAAAAATAGGACATTTCAATCACACCCCACCCACCGGTATATTTACAATTAACTTTCTTTAATTCCTCTTCCTCCACATTCAAATGAAAACAAGAGAAAAGCAACTGAAATGCAGTAACAACAAGAATCTGTATGTAAATAGTGTAAACTCTTCGTCCCTGAAATTCAGACAGAGCAAACAGTTACAGACAGTATAGACAAAAATATTAAATTACATATCACTTGCAGATGTAACAATAAATCAACAAACCAAATTAAAATTACAGCTGAATTCATCACATTCATTTTGGAAAAAAAAAAAAAAAAAGAAGCTGTTCTTTATAATGCTGGGAACAGTTTCAATAAATTATGTAAAACTAAATCCTGAGTATAATGATAAACTACATCTGGCAGCAAGACCACTTATTGGCAGACTGGAGATTTTGGAGAGCCACCTCTTAATTACTTTTGTTTCCAGGTCCTCTCTGACCTGGGGTGGTAGTACCTGTTAGGGTCCCAGCTATGGGCAAATAGTAAACCACCAAACAAAAACAGAACATTAGAAAGTATAAAAAATACATTTTTATAGTAAAAATACCATAAATACATTTTTATATAACAAAAATTGCCAACAGTACCTATTTGCCGTAGAAGAATCAACAATACATTTTTTCTGTAGTGGAAGTCATAAAATTGTGTTCAAAATATGATTTTGGCATTAAATAACCCATAAACAAAATCAACCAACCAACATAAAACTAACAACAGCATTAGGAAATATGCAAAAAAAACCTTCAGAATATACCATATTTGATGGCATATAAGACACACTTTTTATTACTAAAATAATCTTTTAAAATTCCCTTGCATCTTATATGCCATAAGTAGGTTTAAAATTCTCAATAGTCGTCTGAAATTAGTTACCTGGCAAATCCTATTAGCTTAGACTTTAGAGTAACTTTCATATACCTATTGTCGTTATTTAAAAGGCTATTATGCAGATTAAAGGTGTTATCATTGATAATATTCATTATATTAATTTCTTCACATTTAAAATTAGTAATTTGTTTCACTAAAATTATATGCAATAAATTCAAATTATTTGTAAAATATATTTCTTTCATTAATATTTTTCTTGCGATAACTCCCAGTTGAATTGGTATAAATACAATCAGAATTTTTATATCTTAGTTATTCCACTAAGATGTTTACAAGATGCAGGTTGTATAGATCATATAAAGGAAAATTTTTGACTGAATTTTAATGGTAACTGTATTGTTTTGCTCAATTGTAATAATTGCTTGATTTTTGTTTTGTTTTCTTACCTTTGGATATAATGAAGTTTTTATAGGCTTGTGTTCTTTTATTTCTATTATTTTTCATTTAATTGTAATCATGGCTTGTTTAACCAAAATAATAATACCTCATAAATATAGCCTATGCTGTACCATTTACTAATAATTTTACTAATTACTAATTTTTTCTTGATTTGCCCTGCTGAAATTGGGGTGCGTCTTATACACCATCAAATACAGTACTTCTTTTTCTTGTCTTATTCCATATATATTTATTTGGTTTTGCCATTACATTTCCCCTTTCTGTTTTTGCAGGTTGTCTCCTGAACCAAATATGGGGAATGACCTTAAACAGGAGGTAAGTGTTGCCAGGCCACGTTGCGGCTCCAAGGTGCTCCTATCCACAACCCGTGACTCAACAGACCAAGGTGGCTGTGCCCACTACATCGAAGGAGATTTTGATTCTGCCGAAGAAGCCATGGAAGAATTGGACTTTACTAACAAGATCTGTAAGACATCTACACGGACACCCAGTCCTCATTCCATGGGAACTGAGTCTTATCGCTCGGCCAGCCAAAGCTCTCTAGATTCTTCAGAATCCCATAAAGCAGACCTTGCCTATCATCATCATACTGATGAGGACACACTTCCAAATGAATGTTCTTTGGATTATCCGATACGAGTACCTATAATTGGATTTGAGACAATGGAGCAACGTGCAAGATTTACAGTAAGTTTTTTTTTTTTTATTTAAAAATAATAAATTTTAATTTTTGCTGTTATTATTTCCATCTTTGCATCCAGGGTATCTTGTGATGGTAGGTTGTAATCAATTGACAGCAAGTCACTTAAAATCTTCGGCATTTTCTTAGTATTCTCAAATATTCTCAGCAATGTAATTCATATCACTATCTATCTATCTATCTATCTATCTATCTATCTATCTTAGTCTGTTTTTATCTATCTATCTATCTATCTTAGTCTGTTTTTATCTATCTATCTATCTATCTTAGTCTGTTTTTATCTATCTATCTTAGTCTGTTTTTATCTGTCTATCTATCTATCTATCTATCTATCTATCTGGGCCTGTTTTTATCTATCTATCTGGGCCTGTTTTTATCTATCTATCTGAACCTGTTTATATCTATCTATCTGAACCTGTTTATATCTATCTATCTGAACCTGTTTTTATCTTTCTATCTATCTGAACCTGTTTTTATCTTTCTATCTATCTGAGCCTGTTTTTATCTTTCTATCTATCTGAGCCTGTTTTTATCTTTCTATCTATCTGAGCTTTTTTTTATCTATCTATCTGAGCCTGTTTTAAATCTATCTATCTTAGTCTGTTTTAAATCTATCTATCTGAGCCTGTTCATATCATCTACCATATTCTTTTCATACCTATCTAAATCTGTTTTTATTCTATCTATCTATCTATCTATCTATCTATCTATCTATCTATCTATCTATCTATCTATCTGTTTTATTTTATTCTATCTATCTATCTATCTATCTATCTATCTATCTATCTATCTATCTATCTATCAAATTTTGTGACTCTCATTAGTCCATCCGTCCATCACGCCCTCTAAAATAGCCATAGATTGACTGATCAAAACCAGATTTTGGGGAGAAGTGCAAACAGGTAAGGGAGTACAAAGTACAGTTGGTTTTACTAGGGTGCATAGCTTAGTACAATAACATACAAAATACTCACACTATTTTAAAAACTACTTGATTAAAGTAACAAATACTTATTTTAAAAAAAAGCATTATTTTTTTTTGGCATTTCTTTCCCTAAGTTTTTATATATACAAGAATCCAGTTTCTAGTTTGCCCTGCATTTACGGGAATGATAAATGAATTACAAGGCCAAACTCTTCAAAAAGTTGAAATTTGGCTCCAGAAAGAAATATTTATGCATGGCTAGTTGTATGTTTCTCAAGAGTAAGAAATCCTAAGAATTTATTCTTTGCTGTTAAAAAGGAAAAAGAAATTATCTTAAAAATTATTGTTTACTATGAACTCCTATTAAATTAAATAAAAGAAATTATTAAACCATGAAGTAGGGTTTTTGTCAAAGTATTTTTCTAAACAAATCGGCTTATTTTAATTTCATTGATTGATTTGTGAAATTGAATGAAACGTAGAGTTTGTAAATCTCAACAAAAAATGTTAGTGATAACTTCAACAATACTAAATACTGTGCAAATTTCAACAAGCATCAGTGTGGTAAAAAGATTCTAGTAATTATATAATAGCCATGTTTTTATCAGTAATATTTACTTGAATTCCTAACCACTGACAAAATTGTTTCTTCTTGATTTTTCAATGCATTTCTATAATAAAACCATTAGTAATGAATTAACATCAGGCATATAAACCTATTTTACTAGTAAGCCTTGCATCAATTCATGACTACTGACAATACCCTTCTTCTGATGTTCAATGCATTTCTGTAATATAATGATGAACAATATGTTTATGTTATGCCTTATTCTATCAGTAAAGCTTGCATTAATTCCTGACCACTGACAATACCTTGCTTCCTAATCTGCAATGTATTTCTGTAATTAAATCAGTATGTAGCCATGCATATAATAATCCTATTCTGCTAGACAGGTTTGCATAAATTCTTGACACTGACAATCCCTTTCTTCTTTATATATACAGTGTATTTCTCTAAAACCATTAGTATTGCATTTACACAATACAGATAATAGCCCAATTCTGCTAGTTAGATTTAATTCTTGACCACTGACAATCCCTTATGATCTTCAGAGTAATTTTATAGTAAAAACATTATCAATGCATTTACTTTATTCCTTATTACTATAAATGTTATTTTACTGGGTATATGTGATTGAGTTGCTACCTGTTTTTTTTTATTTTATTTTATTAAACTGAAATTAATAATAATCTACCTAAATTGAGAAGTCCTACTAAAAAAAAAGGTGCCTCCAACATGTACCTACATTTTTTTTTCCCATCAGAGGCACAATTTGCTTTAGTAGGACTTCTCAATTTAAGCTGGTTGCTATTAATTTCACTGTTTAAAACAAGGATAGCTAATCAAACTCAGGTACCCACTAAAGATAACCTAATATGATGGACAAGGAAAATTTTATTAATTTTTTATTTAGTTTTTCCAGTGTTTTTACATTTTTCTTTTTGGTGGGAGTGAGGGAGTACAAAAACTACCCTTATTGTCTATTGTCTCGAGTGTTTTTGGCCACTTCCTTTGTTTTGGCGTTGTAGAAACTAAAAATGGAAAGGGCTTGGAACAATAGACAGTATGGACATTTGTGGGTGGATTGGAATCAGTTTACGATTAATGTATGGGCTGGAATTGTAAGTAACTGTCTAGTAGGTCCATATGTTCCTCCAGCATATCTTACAGAAGCTGCCTAAAGGGACTTTATTTTGAACACACTTCCAGACCTGCTAGAGGATGACACTGTGTGGGAGTATTTGAAAGGGTCTGCCAGTCAATGATCCAACAAGTGCACATGTGTGTAGAAGCAAGTGGAGGACATTTTGGACATTTGTTATGAGTTACTATGTTGAGGTACAATGATGACCTTTTGGATATATGTTTACCTTGTTTTGGTGTGAGAAACCCACCCCCAACTTTTGTAAATGTATTTTTGGATTGTATCTTGGATTATACATTTAATAGAACCTACCGTAAACTTAATAACTCAAAAGCAAAGGATTTTCAGACATCTATTTATATGGACTTTTGTCCTTGCTTTGGTGTGAGGAACCTGCCCCCAGAGTTCTTAAAATTATTTTTGATACACCCTGTATACTTAAAGAAAAGTTTTATACTACAGAATTTATATATGGTTTTAAAAATGATGAACTGAATTCTTTTAAAGGAACCTTTTTCGTCCAACACTTCTTCAGAAAGATTCGTTGGAACAACAATAATGAAAACAGCAAAACTGAAAAAAGAGAACACAGGGTGTAAATAAGGAGCCATGACTAAAATAAATTTATTGCTAAAAGAACAAATTAGTGTAAATAAGCTTCTTGCGAGTGTAAAACAGAAATATTTTTTACTCACAACCCACCCATGAGACACAGTAAACAAAGAAAATGTCCCTTCTGCCTGCACAAAGTTGGTTGATGAAGCTTGATGTAAACTGCTCCCAAAAGCCATAAATGTTTAACGAACCAAGTCCTGTGTAGCACCCTGAACACTATCAAAATATTCTGAAGTGCAAACTGGGTTTTTAATTAAATGAAGTCCAATGAGTCAAGCGATGACTGTTGATATCTCCACCCTGTCTTATATAGGCAGGCACATGTGGTCCAATCTGGGTCTCCAACTGCAAGTTCGTTTTCATCACATAGTCAGCCTTACAATGTGTTGTAACCTAGGGGGAAGGTTACTGAATAGAATAACCAAACAAAGGTTGGAAATGAAAAATAATATTTAGGACAAGTATAACATACAAGTTTCGCTTGCAGTGTGTAGAATGTCATCAACTACTCAAAGTGAATCTCAAGTGAAAGATCACAGTGATTCCAAATGGAAGACCACATACAGTATACACATCTGTATTTATAGGAATGGGGACATACCCATTATCATCCACAGGTATTCTATAACACACTCGTATTTAAATTGATATATCACAAAACTACTTTGCAGGTAGATTTTGCCCTACCTGCAAAGTAGACATTTAGAACACAGGGATTTCAGGGAGTGAAAGTGAATGAGAAGATTGAAAACAGGGAGGATTGAGCAAAGGACAAAGAAGGAACAGGGTTCAAGAAGATAGAATATGGCAAATGACATTGCATTTAAATTTTTGAAGATTGCACTTATCAGGGAAGCAAGAAGTTGAAAGGGAGTTCCACAGGTGGGAAGTGTGAGAAAAAGTGGCATTTGCATATCTAGTTCAACAGTAAAATGGTTGAGACCTAGTTGCCAATCTAGTAACACACTTCATTTCATGTAGTCATGGCACCAAGAAAAAAATGCTCATCTGAGCAGTTGCCATTAAAATATTTGTAGGACAAACAGAGAGAAGCCACATCAGGTTGGTGAGAAAGTAACTGGTGGCAAGATGCCTGGTCAGAATCTGTTGTGTTGCAGACCGTTCTCTGGATTTTGTCAAGAATCTATAGATGCACAGCAGGAGCACCGGACCAGATATGGCAACAGAATTCAATACATGGACAAATGATAGATTTATAAATTAATTCTGACAAGGAAAACTTTTTGGCATATCACAATGAACCAACCTTCCTCAGAGCAGAAAACATGCTCAATATCAGAGATAGAGCATATGTACATATAAAGTGGACATTGAGATCAACACAGTTGGCAACAGTCTGTTACATGCTTGAGCAAAATCTTCATGGCATGAAACAGACTGTTGCCATTTGGTGTTGATCTCAGTGTCCCATATATATATATATATATATATATATATATATATATATAGTCATTCGCAGACAGTAATGTTTTCCTATATCACAGCTCCTCAGTGTGACTAGCCAACCAAATGCCTCAAGCCAGAATTGAAACCCAACCAATTTAGTATCAGTCAGAGACTGACACCAAATTACCACTGAGCTATCTTCATTCGACAGAATGGAACAGCTAAATCTAGCATATTGTTTTTACAAATGTAAACAAATGCTGATCAGCCAAAGTGCTCCATTCATTTTACTGAAGAGCTTTGCATTAGCGCAGGTGGCTGCTGTTTATAGAATTAGCTTGTCATTCAACAGTGCTCAACTGAAATATATTTTCAAGAGATTTGTGTGTTTGTTAGCCATTGGGTCTAATAAGTTCATTTGCCTTTTAGCAGGTCATGTTTTTGTCATCCTTTGTTGTGACATGCTCCCCTCCTCACCAGCAGCAAAGCGAGAGTTGGGGTGGTGGTTTAGATGCCAATTACTTCTGGTTCTTAAATATGATAGGTTATTTTTTAAAAAATTTTTTTTATTTATTTATTTTTTTTTACAGTGGACAAGGCCTGGGAGGGGCACTTGAGGTAGAGGGCTACATGAAATGGTAGTTTATATGGATAGGAAAAGATAATAGTTAACTCTAGACCTGAACAGAATAAGATTGTAGTGATCGGGGAAACATCCTCTAGCAAGTCTGTGTTCCATAGGGCAGTAGTTCACAGAAAGAAGCTGTTTGGGTGGAACTTACTTCTTGCCGATGGAATATGGAGGTAATGTGGGTGGTTTGCTCCTGTGTAAGTCACCTGACAGGTCCTAGCCATGAAAATCAGACCTGGTGGAACCAGGAGATGCAGTTTGTCCGAGCACATTCCAAGGTAGTAGTGATAGAACAGTGAGAGGTTCACCATATCCCTTTCGTGAGAGAGAGATAGAGGTTGAAGCGTGGAAATCATTACCTCTCCCACAAGAACTCAGAGACACTTTTGAACAAGACCGGAAAGTGAGGTCTGGGTAGCTCCTGCCTAAATACTAACAATACTCCATTTTCTGCTTGATCAGGCTCTTATAAAGGTAATGTTTACCCAGATACAGTAGATTGTCAGTACCAAAGCTTGTTGGGTAATTTC